TTATATAAGAGGTTATCACTTTTTAAGAGCAACATGACGGGCGCTCCTCCGCCAAAAAACAATTTTACGTTTGAGACAGTTAAAAAAAATTGTAAAAAAAAATAGTTTAGGCCAATCGTTCTAAAAATGAACCAAGAATGACGCTAAATCGCGAAAAACTTATATTTTCAAAGAAAAATAACAAAAATTTCAACTTTTTAACAAATTTAATTTTTTGGCTCTTTAGCGTCATTCTATAACAAATATCTTAACTATTTTCTTAATAACTTTTTTTAAAAATGGTTATCATATTTTTAATAAATTGAGTGGAAAACAGTATTTTTTTCTATGTCCCACTTCAGGGCACGATCTTTTGGTATGTTCTAGTCCTCGTTGGACTATATCACACAGGATATTACTAAACTTGCTACTAGCAAATATGACTATGTCGTCGGCATAACCTTGACAGGGTATGCCGAGGTCAGTCAATCTGCATAGACGTTCGTTGACGATTAGGCTCCACATGCAGATGGAGATGGTGTCCTGCCCTATCTGTGCCTCTGCAGTTCTCGTAGATAACAGCTGAGCCATCCATCTGGATGCGATGTTATCTACTCCTCTGTATGCAAGTGCTCTTTTTACAGATTCGTGTAGCGTGTTGTCAAAAGATCCTTCTATGTCTAGGCACACACGACCGTTTCTTTGTTTATCAGTGAATCCTGGATTACGTCAGTCAACTGTACCATGGCAGTTTCTGTAGATCTTTCTGCTCGGTATGCGTATTAGCTGTGGAGAAGTGGCACCCTCTCTAGGACTTCCTTTCTGATATAATTATCAACAGCCTTGTCCATTGTTTTAAATACAAAGGATGTGAGGCTGATTGGTCGAAAGGATTTAGGATGTGTGGTATCCTTTTTCCCTACTTTTGGAATAAAAGTGACTCTGGCTCTTTTCCATGCTTCTGGTATATATCCTAACTCCATACTTCTCCGGAATAGCCGGATTATGGGTGGTAGTAATTCCTCCTGTGCCTGAAGCAGGGCAGGAAATATTCCATCCACACCTGGAGATTTAAACGGTTCAAAAGTGTTTACAGCCCACTTTAACCGATTTCTGCTGCATATGTGTTTGGCCACTACAGCGGCCTCTCTTGGGGGCCTGTTTACCTTAGTTGTGTCCCTTATTAGAAAAGGTGTGCTTTTAGGAAAGTGAGTTTTGAATAAGAGGCGAGCTCTTTCCTCCTCACTCTCCGTGAAGCTTCCATTTGGTTTCTTTAATGCCATAACTCTATCAACTCTCCTTTTTTGCCAGGGCCCTTTGCAGTCTCGCTACCGCAGGTGTAGAGTTAATATCCTCGCAGAATTTTCTAAAGCTGTTACGTTTAGCTTTCCTGATTACTTTGTTGTAGGTAGTAAGCGCCTCGGTGTAGCTCTGCAATCTCCGGTGTGATTGGCCCTATTATAGAGCTTCCACACTTCGGATCGTAAGTTTGACAGTTGACGGTTCCACCAAGGAGCATCCCTACTAGTTCTATTTCTTTGAATAGGGCAGCTTTATTCATATGCCTCAAGTATTGCCCCATTTAGTTCTTCGAGATCGCTGCCCGCGTCCCTTTTTTGTATGGATACGTGCTTTTTGTTTAAGAATTGTTTTGAAAACTAAATTCATTGATTTTATGAAGCAAATTATTGTTACCCTTATGTTTTATGCAAATGGATTATTTAAACAAAAAATTTAATAAACATCTAAAGTCTCCCGTCTAGGTAGGTACCGTGGGCAGAATAATATTCCAATTTCCAAATTCACTCTGCCGTAAACGCACCAGATTTGGAGGTTAACTTATGACCAATGATATATACTTATATGGATTGCTCATTTATATGTAAATCTAGCATCGAGACAGAATAAAGTAAAGACGACATAAAAAATATTTTGCAATATGACAGATGGACACACTTCAAGTGACGGAAAAGTGTAATGAAAATGGCGATTTGAGTCGTATTTTGATCAGTAATTTTATTTATGAAGACTGACAGAATAAAAATGATTTTATATCATTTAATGAAGCTATTTACATTACATTTAAATTACATTTATTTTCACCTAAACTGACTAGACAAGATGCGGGTTTCACTGCGCAAAGTTTTCTCTATATCTATGCTTCGTTTGAATATCCATATCCGATGCATTTTTTACATCTCGAGCGTTTGTACACGCTAAAGTGTACACAAATCAAAAAATTATATACACGCGAAACGTCATATTGCTGTGGTGGGAGGTGTTTATGTGAATGCGTCTTGTTTGTTTTTATTTACGCCGTGACTAGCAGTAGTATTTTATAAACCTTAGAAGCAAATTTCACATTCATGGCTTCACCAGAAAATTTCAATCCATACCTAGCTACGCCGACCGGCATAAACACCAACGGTCTAATCACAGCTCACCTACTCTGTCAAGACGTTTCGCATGTATATAACTTTTGAATTGCGTACAAGTTAGCGTCTACCTAGACACTGTGTTTGTTTATCCACATCGGACACATCTGTCCTACTACATTTACTTATACTGAATTACGTGATCAAAGATTTACAACATCCCTGATGCATCCGATGTGAATATTTAAACGCGGCACTAATACATTTACAGCCGTATGCATAGTCGATCGCCAGTGACTCGCCAGAGATTCGTTTCGGCGTATCGCCAGCGATTCGCTGGCGATCCGCCGGCAAAAGCCCAAAAAGGTGGCGACTCGCCGGAGATTGTCACCGGAATGTCATTTTACGCAAGTTTTCATTTTTTTATAGGGATTATCGCCGGTATCTCTCGCATTTTATTCATAATTCATTTCTTAAAACTCAAAAAATAATGAACGAATATCAAATTTTTCCCTATAAAAGAACATGAAAACTTGCGTAAAATGACATTCTGGTGACAATATCCGGCGAGTCGCCAGCATTTTGGGCTTTCGCCGGCGGATCGCCAGCGAATCGCTGGCGATACGCCGAAATGAATCTCTGGCGAGTCGCTGGCGATCGATTATGCATACGGCTGATAATGTTTTCTTTCAATTTTGATTACTCAGTTATAAATTGTAAACATTGTGTCAGAGGAAGAGTATTGCATTAAAGCACTCATGAGTAATTCACAATGAATAGCTTTGCAAAATACTCATAATAAGTATCTGAGTATGAATGCTCACTCATATGAATAATACTTAAAACAAATAAGTGCTTTCGCAAATTTTAGAGAGTTCTTTGAGTACTTAAGTACAATTTGGAGTATATTTGTACTGCCCAGCTCTGTATAGTGTTTTCTTGTCATTAAGAGTTTTACAGATTCAAATGTACATTTTATAGTTATAATTAACCCGGGCATTTACCATTGGGCTAGTAGAAGACCACCAAATGGCTACTTCAAAAAAATGGGGCAACTAGAGACACTTCTCGACGATGTTAATAATCTATAGGACTTTAATGATCTGACAAGATGAATGTCTGTAGTCTACAGACACCCCTCAGCGTCAAACAGCAGGTTTTCTTTCTGCAGGACTTTGATTAGTTGAGAAGATGGCTGTTTGTAGACACCCCTCAGCGTTAACCAGCAGGTTCTTGGCGGGTTAATAACCTGCAGGGCTTTGATGAGCTATGAATATGCAGCTGTCTTTAGATATATCTCAGAGACAGGTTTTATATACCCCTGGAAGATGCACAACGAGCCTAAGTGCTGTGGAAGTATCCTCCTATCCCACCTTACAGATACAAATAGTTTATATTGTTAATTAAAACTAATGTAAGATGTTGCTATGAAATTAGAATATCTATTTTGACAAAAAATATCATGTGGTCCTATTTATAAAATGGTAGCAATTTATATAATTAATTTTACTTAGTAATCAAAAAAACTTTGTTCTGTATAATTGATAATACATTTTTATTATATTAATCAGTGATTTTTTATGTTTTATGGCTCAGATATTCAAAATATGTCTCAGTTTGTGATTGTATGTGTTTTATGTAGGCTTTGTTACTGTTTCCCTGTTATAAAATTGTTTAAATCTCTTAATATTATTTGACGATGTGGATACTTAACATTACAACACGAAAAAATTTGTGTTTAAAACACTTTACATAAATCGTGTCTTGGAGTAAAATAGGTCATTCTTTTTTTTTGTTTCTAAATATACAAATGCTGAAATTTTATTTTAAAACACGTTAGGGGCAGAACGATTTTATTCAGTGAACCCTTGAAAAGGCGCTTTTCGTAGCCCTATTTAAATATGGGCAAGCAATCTTTACAACGATATATATCATTGGTCATATCGCGAAAAACGCACGGCTTTGCTAGATTTGCGTCGTTCAATAGCTATCGAGTATCGAAATGCATTTTTAGTGGATCATTAGTACTAATGAGTCTACAAATATTCAAAGATCGTTCTTGCAACCGGCTGATAAACATTAAATTGTTGGTATTTACCTTGAAGTATGCTGATACGAAATTAAAATAATTTTACGTCAATTTACTTCTTTAATACCTAAAATATATTCATTCAGTTACTATCAAACTACATAATAAAAAGTATTTTATGTTGGATAATACCAGCTACCATACTACTCTTTAAGTAAAATTACCAATGAATAACTGGAGAAACGACGATATCAGTCATCTAAATGCACAATGGCATAAAACTGCCACACAGTAAACCCCAAAATATAAAAACTATGCAGTGGACGTAGTCACAAATCAAAAGAACGTAATTGTTTTATTACATTCACCGTATTATTGCGATGTAAACCCGACTGAATTGATTTGATGACAAATGATGTATTGCACGTAAAAACTCTACATACAAGTTAGAATTTAAAAAGTAGTTACTTTTATCCTAAAATATATTATTACAGAAAAACGGTGAAAGTGTATTTAGCATTTTATCAAAATTAATAAAACGGTTGTGTAGTGATCACAAAATTAAATAAATTTTCGATACGGTTCCAGAAAAAAAGTTAGTAGTCCAACTGACAGTTCTTCTAGTGAAAATTAAAGAAATGTTATTATTGATTAAACATTTGTACCAAATAATATAAAAAAATAATTAAAGTTAGTTGTGTTTGCTCCTAACCACGAATTATTTATGGTAAGTTTTTCTTAGCAGCATACTTTTAATTAGGGTATTAAAACATTACTAAAATTCAGAATTCAGAATGCGTATTTAAAATTTAGCACGACTCTTATTCCTAATCCTAATTAGGGTAAACATATTCTTTATTTGAATCATGGTAACTTAAGTTAATATTACTGTATTCAATTTTTGAAATAAAAGCTATAATTGAGCACGAACGTTGTTAATTTCAAAATCAAAAACGTTTTAGCATGCGTTCTTAAATTAAACAGGAAGGGTGTTTAAAATGAAAATTCTAACATCTTAAATTAAGTACCCAACTAAAAAAGTAGCCTTATAATTTTTAGTTTACAAGACCATTACATTTTATATTATATTGCTGTTTCTGGAATACTAATTTGTTATAATAAAATTGCAGAAAGTACTATTTTATTTTCTGGAACTAAATTATTATATAAATTAGTTTTTACAATATTCTTATAGCAAAATTATTAAATAGTTTTTAGGATGTTGTTACATAAACATTAGTTTATACAATATGTCATCTAATAAAATAAAATTGCATTATAGTGATTCTATACTGTTTCTTAAGCTTATAATAACGCTTAAAAAATAGTTATATACATATTAGTGTGATATAATTTGGCGTCAGTAGCAATTTGCTTCTGATGAAAACTCTAAAATAACTGCAATGTAGTGTCGAAATACATTTCTGCAAATCAGAAAACTACCTGAAAGTATTAAAAATCAATAATTTTATGTAAGAATAGTATTATCTCTTTAAAAATATTTATAAAAAAAAATAAAGCAACTACATTTGGTAGTACCTACACCATATTATTTTGTATTTTGTGTTTGTTCAACAACTTCCCATACTATTTGTATATATAAGTGAATAAATATAAAAAAATAAGTCCATTTCAGAGAATAGTAAAAAGGATTAACAAAACAATTTGCATTGTCTAGATAATAAAAAAAACGTATCATTCAGCTACATAATAATGTTTTAAATAATTATGAGCCAATACTAAAGGAAAGCCATATTTTTGACGATGTCCATGTAAAACTTGATTATTTTAGCAATATTATAAATGTTGCTTGCTCTATAAAGCTGTAGAAACAAATTAATCATTTCAGTTCTCAAATAGGTACTTAAATAACAAACGATTTAGTAAGGTTATTTTATATTTTAAGTCTACAGTGCAGCAATTTAAAACTATTATACAACAAACTATAGTAAATTTGTTTTGTAGGAATAATTATTGTATCACAGTTTTATACAGATAATTTCTTTCTTAAAATAACTTCATAATATCTTTGAATATCCGCCATATTTTACAAAAATCTAAGACAGTTTTAAAGATAAATCTACTGTCGATTCTACTAGTACCATACGGTAGCGTATGTGGTAAACCACCATGTATAATTACTTTGAATATTACTTGATGCTAAGACATAGTTTTTATACATCGTTTTAAATCTGGAAACACTTTGGAGTTTAAAATTGGTTGCAACCGTATTGTAAAGATAGCAAATGTTGTAACTAAATTATCGCCTGAATAATTCAGATCTAAAAGAAGGAACAGTCAGTAACCCTCTATTCCTTATATTTTTATATTATGAATATCGGTACTGTAAGTAATTTTACGATAAAGATATGGGAGCCAGTGAGAAGCCCAAAATTGATACCCAATACAGACGGTAACAAAGATATGGATATATTAAATATTTTTGTAATAGATATACCAGAGTGGGTTAAATGTGCCAAACTAAATTATACAGGAGAGCCGGTAAATTTTAATCAAGCACATCCAGCATGCTTTAGAGGATGCCAAGTCACAAAAGAGATACAATATGTAAGAGACCCGACAAGCAAAACTAACCACAATAGAAATAATACCCCAAACTAGACGTACTATCATTAATAATACACACAGAAAGGCAAATTTGACATACTCGAACGTGGCTAGTAATAACGGACCTAATCATACTAAAAACGATTCTTCAACGAACCAAATCATGACTACGCTTATTACAATTCTTGACAGAATTACCTCCACAACAAAACTCAAACTACATTACGAAAACCTTACTCCAGAAATACAGGACATGATAAATAACAAAAACTACATACGCAAGGTTTGGCAAAGAAATAGACAAAGTGACGCCAGAATTAGTCGCTTAGTCATATCCAAGACAACCAACGCTGCAATACGAGATTTAAAAAACAAAAAATGGACTAACATACTACAAGAACTAAAACCACAAGACAACTCAGTGTGGAAAGTCGCACAAACAACAATATTAATAATGCCGAACAGCAAACTATAAAAGACATAGTAGAGGATATTAGGCTCCTCACTAGAGAAATCGTGCCGGCCAATCAGCTGGTCTCGCCGAACGATCTTAAAATCGCAATTAACAAATTAAGAAATAGAAAGGCCCCGAGTCCAGACGGGATAACGGGCCTTATGCTCAAAAACATTTCAAAGAAAACGGTCGGGCAACTACATTATATAATAAACGCTACCTTTAAATTGCAGCATTATCCTAGTAATTTAAAAATAGCAAACATTATCCCAATCAAAAAACCCGGTAAACCCGCGAAAAATATTAAGAGCTATCGTCCTATTTCCCTACTTAACTCATTCACTAAATCAATAGACATGATAATACTAAACAAACTACGCTTAATCGAACAGGACAAACAAATAATTCCACAGGAACAGTACGGTTTCCGCGAAGGACACGGTATGCTTGCGCAAGTAATTAGAATAGCGCACCAAGCGAAAGAAGCTTTCAATAATCAAAAAGTAACCGTACTGGTCGCCTTAGATACAGAGAAGGCCTTTGATATTGTCTGGACCTGTGGAATTATCTACAAAATGTTTATAAATGAATTTCCTATTTGTATTAGAAAAACAATTCAATCTTACTTACAGGACAGAACATTCTACATTAAAATCAATAAAACACTAACAGAACCATTTAATGCAATGGCGGGAGTACCTCAGGGTTCGGTACTTTCGCCGCATCTGTACACAATTATGACCCATAATATGCCCATGGGTACTAATGGTGTACAGACGGCACTGTACGCCGACGATACCTGTGTGTATAAAACTTCGGAGCTGGCTGAAGTCGCGAACAGGAGGGATTGTTACGGTTCGTTTTTGGCTTTTGATTAACTACGAGTTATTAAATTAAATATTTAATTTACCCAGTGTTCCTTGTTTACTCTGCTTGATCCTATAGATATAGGCCAGTAAACAGCTGTTCGAAAAATTGGTATGACCGTTGACCGCAGAGCGATATCTGGGTCACTGTCACAAATTAGCGGATTTCGGGTATCGATATTCTGCGTTACTCGGGACAGTTGGTTTTCGATAGCTGGTGTCGCGTTGTGTTCTGTGGATTGATGTTCCGTGTATTAGTAACTATATAATTTTTAATATTTCCAGACCTGGTGGTCTGTCATTTTTGAGTCTTGTCACTTTTTTTGGCTGATTTATATGGATATTGAATGGTGATGAATAACATTTGGAAAGTTTTTCAAATATATATATGACAAAGTGTTGGTCATCCGATAAGGGATTAATTTGGAAACTACCTAATAGACCTGGAGAATTTTATTGCCGTAGAGTTTTATGGATATTTTTTGGGAAAATTCCCTTGGTAACCTGCTTAAGGGATTAATTGCTCTTTATCGTCCAGTCACCCGTACACGTGGTACTTATCTGTTAAAAACCCCAAAGTGGTTTGTTTGGGTATGTATATACGTATTTAACTTGTTCTATTTAGTAATTGTCTCCTGTGAGCACATATTCTCACTTGTGTATAAAGATATATGTAATGGGAATTTTATTACAGCGTGGGGGGTTATTAATTATGATTTTAAGAAAGAAATACACTTATACTGTCTAAGTGTCTGGGATATGATCTATTTGGATCATATTATTTATTTATTCGTGTTTTTAGGGTTTTTCTTTTACCCTGTGGTGTTTCCTTATCACTGGTTTATTGTATGTCCACGAACATCTGGAAAGGGTTGATACTTACCAAATGACTAGTGACCTAGTTCTGGAGGGATCTGGATCTGCGAGGTGGAACCGGAGTTTTATTTTTTTTGTTGTGTAAGCATGACCTGGAGAGCTACTCTAGCTGGTATCTACCACATCAGATGAGTGAGTTCATCCTTCGAGTAAGGTATTTATTCTGTAAGCTGATCGTGTTCCCATCGTGGCAACCCCAGTAAGTGAAATTAAGGCCATTTGCCATTGCTTAATTTTAAATGCCTACTTAAGTCTTTAATCTATTTGTATCAACCATGTCATAAACCCGTGATGAGCTCATAACGCGTTATTAGGTCATAAGTTAGGTTAAGTTATTGGGATCCTTTATTTAGTGTAATTACTGTTATTTTGTTTTCCACGCTGTATATTTAAATATACTTATTTTGTTCTATAATACTTGTTAAGTATTTCATTAGTATATTAAATATACTTATTTTGTTCTATAATACTTGTTAAGTATTTCATTAGTATATTAAATATACTTATTTTGTTCTATAATACTTGTTAAGTATTTCATTAGTATATTAAACATACTTATTTGTTCTATAATTAATGCCTCACCTGGCTTCGGGGTACTTGTGAAATAATTTTAATTTGTTGATTAAAGATACAGCCAACTAAATTTCCGCCTAGTTTCATTTTTAGCTATAGTTGCCTGGTGCATTTAAGTTAATACCCTAAGTCTAGGAATCAACCAATTTGGTGGTTTGGTGGTTGATTCAATACTCCTAGAGGGTATTTGCCGTCAAATTTAACCTGGTGCCCCCCTTTTCAACTTTATTTATCGGACTACTCCCTTCTCCGGCTCGAGCTACTCGCGGTGAAAATATCCAATTGTCACCCAGGGTAATTGGAACCCCCCTTGTCATTGTTGACAACCGTCTCAAGTCTTAATTAACCATTTGTGTTGTGTTTAGGCGTCGAGACGGTTGGCAACGTGGC